AGTTTCAGGCTGAGGAGTGTCAAGTCCTGGGGATTTGAAAGCTCTCGATTCACAAAACCAGTGACTAGTAGATCTCTTCACGATCAAGTGATGCAACCTTCCTGCCTGGGGTACTTCAGCGACTGTAGGTGCAAATCACCGATTCGGACCCTACAAGCTCACCTTCATCCCCACGTGCCCATCCCACCAGCGAGTTCCTGGCACAGGGGGAATTCAGGCTTCACAACCCAGGCTGAGCCCACACCCAGAGCCAGGCCAAACCCCAGCGAACAGCGGGGTGAGCACAAACCGTGTGCTAAAAGATAAAGCAGCTATCACCACTAGGAAGGAAGGACACGAGATGGAAGCACAAGAAAATATTTCAACGTTTGTCTGGCCAAGGAGACATGAGTTCCTGCTATTAGAAGAAATTAGTTGGAGACGGGGCTCTCTCTCTAAACGTCACATACATCTAGGACGCGCTGCATTCCCTGCTGTTGGCAGCTTCCCCTTTGCCTCTCTCCCACTGCATCCACAACCTGAACTAAGATGCTTCCCATCATTATGGTTGTCCAGACCGATCCACACCTCCCTAAAGGAAACAGCCTCGTTTGCACCAAAACAAGAGGCGATGCAGGGACAGCTCGACTTCCCCATCATCCTGCACATCAGCTCGGTTTCAGCAACCCAAACCTCTATGTCCTCCCACAATGTTTTCCCACTTTCTCCGTCAGCTACACGAAAAGCAGACAAATCTGACTGCTGGGTGCCCCAGACACCCCTGGCTAATGGAAGAATTGTTGCTGAATGACTAATCTGCGGCAAATAGCGAGTTTAGGTTTAGCGCTTTTGGAGCACTCCCAGCCTCACAGCACGGTGGGTCTCAGTGGACTGAACCCGGCAAGCGCGAGCCAGAAGTAGCAAATCACCAAAAAAGGAAGAGCGCGCAAGGCTTGTTCCTCAAGGCTGACATTTAGCAGCAGGGCACAGGTTTTGCTCAGCCCAGTGCTCAGGAAGTTCCATTTTTTTTTGGCAACATATGTGCTACAAGATATATTTTAGCTTCCTGATGAGTCCCTCACTGGCAGCAGCAGCGTGGAGGAGAAGGACCATGTGTGACAGCCACGAAACAACTGGACCCGGCAGGATGTGGTAACGCAGAAGGAATTCCTTTTTGGAACTGGCTGTTTGGCTTTGATTACTCAAAAGTATCTCCAATTATTGAAAACAGGTTTCAGACCTCTGGCACAGCACTCCTACAGTAGGGTCACGAGGGTCTTATTCTTGTAGCCATATGGATCAGATCTTAACATCTCAAAGCTATTCCTTCAGCAACCCTACAGCAAGGTGAATGCTCTCCCCATTTTGCAGACCGAGGAGAAACAAGTTGAACTTGCCCGAGATTATGGCAAAGCAATAAAAGATCAGGGAGTGGGGAAGATGACAACACAAATCTCTTGGCAACAACATCTCCCAGCTAACGCAATACTAAGACGTCAGTCCAGAACCGGCACTTGCCTGGCTTCCCATCTCACACCACTCCCTACAAGCATTAGCTTATCAGGCACCTTCCTGGAAGCACAATCTCAGTGGGGATTACTACAAAGATTTAGATTAGAGCTGCCGCACAAGTGAAGCACATTGCAATTGTGCAATGCATTGCAAGGTGAAGGTGCCAACGGTGCCAGGCGTGGGTGGAAGACACTGGCAAGGCCAGAGCAGCTCCAGACTCCTGCAGCGTGGGCTGCCAAGATGGAAACATCAGGTCACTGGGAATGACAGCACTGAGGAGATGCAGAGGTAGATGAAGGCCCGGTCCCAGTGGACCCCAGGAGGCTGAAGCAGATGCTCAGCAGGGTTGGCCGACAGACTGAATCCCTTTCAAGTACGTCCCAACTACGCGTTTATTCCTGGGTCAGCATCTGGTTTCCTTTTGCCTTCCCAGATGACGGCTGGAGAGTCACAGACTCCAAAATGCTGGGTAGTTGAAAACGTCTTGATAGCACACGTGTGCTCAGCTACAGCGAGCGGGCTTGTGCTGCCGACCTCCAATGGCTGCTCGTGAACAAGTCCTGCAATAGACACCGGCTGACTACTGATCACCAAAGCACCCGCTACCACAGGTGACACCGAGGGACAGAGGGGGTCTTGCTTTTCCACAACACCCACTGGAGAGCAGATGACGAATTCCTTGCCCGGGGCCTTTGCTCCGAAGGGTCACAGAATCATTTAGTTTGGAAAAGACCTTCAAGTCCAACTGTAAACCTACCACTGCCAAGTCCACCACTAAATCACATCTGACAGTTCTGTCTTGCTCCTCCAGACACCGATTCCTGAAATGCCGTGAACCTCGGGGCAAAGCAAGTCATTCCTGCAACAAGGATCTGGCCATCCTCTTCAGCCGAGGATTGCCAGGAGCCAGCTGGGCGATACGGGCCTCGAGCAGGTGTTGGAAAGCACAGCAGGTTTGACAGAGCTCCGCGAGTCGGTTCCTTCTCCAAACAGGCATCATTTTGCTAGTGTCCTGTGAGCGCCTCGGGTATGAGCACAAGTGAACCCTCCCCATACAGAACAAGCAATGGCAGCCGAGTTCTCTTGCCGGATGTCTTCTGCAGTTTGAGATGAAGTGGGGCACAAGAGGTCCAAGGAGCACTGTATCTTGGTCCCTTTTCAGAACAGGATCCGATAAAAGCAGAGTGATTAAAAGCTTCTACTTGTATTTCCTCATCTCTCTCTCATCGGGGATATAAATGATAGGGGGGAGATGTAATTAGGGCGGCTGCCCCTCCAGCCATTGCTCAGGCACAGCCTACCAATTTAAAGCCTTCAAAGACCTGAGCACTCTGCCATTTGCTGGGAAGGATGCTAAGGCAGCTCTGCAACTTCCAGTTACCCAAGGATCTGGAAGCAGCTAGAGCTGCCCAACTCCCAGCTGCAAGACATCTGGGTTACATTGTCTTCCTGGATTCCAGGACATAAACTGTGTACAGCTTCTACTAGAAGCTACTGGATGTTTCTCAGCTATCACCCTCTGAGCATTTTTGCCCTTTTCCAGGTTTTCATCTTGCTATTAATAACTCAGCAGGGCGCACTGCTGTCAAGTCCTCTCCCACATGCAAAGCAGAAAACAGTTCCAAAACGTCCCTCATTTCCAGGGCTATCAATCCCTTCCCTTTCCAGTGAATAAGAAGGCAAAGTTAGATCAACAGTTTCTGCGCACAGAGGCTGCCTATGGAAGACACACTTACAAATCAACAAAAGAACTGCACTTTGTCCTACATCTCTACTGAGATTGCTGGGGATGAGGTACAGAGAAAAGGGCCTAACTGAACCCTGTAGAGGGTAGGAGCTGTTACGGCACCTCTCCCCCACCACTCTCTTGAACACGGCCAGCATGGCGCTCACAACCGTCCCTCCTGGATCCAGGTAGCAGGAGAGAGCACATGAGGGCAGAAGCATCTTGCCTACTTGAAAAACAGAGGCAGGAGTTAAACAGCTAATGCGTTCAGCCCAGCTTTTTGTGACCGCGGGATGCTCCATCAGGTGGCTGGTAAGGCAGGGCTCAAGTCTAAGGTGAATGTCTGATTGCTGGAGGTGGGAGACTCATTAGGGAGCACTAGCGACCTAGAAGGGATTTAAGGACAGTGAGTGCCTCTGACGCAGAGCAGTCAATGCTGCCCCTCAGAGCACCGGGGCTAGCAGGCAGATGTTTCCCAAAGCCTAAATGTGTTTTTCTTCTAGTCATTTTGCTGTTGCAATTCCCCTTCTTTTACTGTAGTTTCCTTTATTGGTGCTTGGTCCAGTCTGAACTACAGACCAGCGTGATTTCTACTTAATAAATCATCCTTCTCCTCACTTTGTGCACTTGAATAAATAAGTTTTTACAAGTTTACTGTGCATTGTACAATCTAAAAATAAATGAAATAAAGTATATGAAATTTATAATTTTTCATCACATCTCTATAAAATACAGCCGCTGCTCCGAGCGGCACTTTCTGTACACAGAACACCAAGTCACAATACAATTAACTGCACCAGTTTGATAGTGTGGCAGCACGGTAAGCTAGATTCTGGTGTTTTTGTGAAATACCATTTAGACCTACTTAAAGCAAAGAAATACAAAAGCAAAATGCACTTTGTCAATAAACGTACACAGCTAAGCCATTTCTGAATCAAGTATCAAAACCCTACTAACAAAATACATTGTACTTGGAACAAAAACAACAAGCTGAGAAAATCTGCTACCTGCACCAGTACAAAAGCACTACGTTCAGTCTTCCCAACGTTGGTAAAAAGGGCCTGACCAATACCAGTGATTATGCACCCTGTTCATATGCCAATGACATCCCAAAACAAGTTACCAGACTAGCTACCAAAATTCACAGTGACTTGAGTGCCACCAGCAACTGCAAATGGCCCAGTGAAGTAGTTCGAATGGGGCAGGACTTGAATTTCTTCTGCTCAGACTGTGCCTGCGTTGGCTGAGCTTGCCTGGGCCACCCCAGGTACTCTAGCTGCCACTCCAGAGGGGAGTACTGAGTTCTTGTTTGTAATGAACACAACTAAAAACCACCCAGTTAACACAGCGCCCGGCTCGGTTCAAATTAAAAGAAAACATTAGATAGAAGACCGTCTTTCTCTGTAGCTCACACTGCCGCAAACCAAGTGGAATTTGGTATATGAACAGAGTAAGTTGAATAAATAAACTGCAGACCCTTCTGAGAACTGGGTTTGGCATTGGTCAACCCTCAAATTCAGCACCAAGGATTCAAACTAGAGGCACAGTTCTGACGGATGAAATAGCACCGAGAGGAGGCTCTTTACATCTCTGCTGGTGTGCCAGTCCTTTATTATTCAGAGAATTTAATAATAAGTTGTATTTGTGATTCTAGGTGGAATAAAATAAGTCAAAATTGTTTTCACTTTAAAAAAAAGATAAATACTTTATCTAAACTATCAACAATACAAACTGGAGCTTTAAGCATTTCTTTTGCCTTTTTTTTTTTTTTTCTCCTTTTTTCTTTTTTACTCAGATTCACAGTAAATATTTTCTCTGTTGTTTAGGTCTTTTTTATGTTTTTATTTTGTCCAGTAGTAAGAGAGTAGAAACCCCTGCACAGGCCAGGTGAGCACCTTTCAGTGGAAGCCGAGTGAAGTTGGTCCACGTTGTCCTTGCATAGGTCACATTGGGTTGAGGTAGAAATCCTAGTTACCTGCACAACAGGAGGAGAGGAAGAGACTCATCTAAATAAAAGACAAAAATCTACTGTGTGTTAGATGTGTCAATCATTTCTACATTGCTCCAAGACCTCGTTAGCCAGCAAAGGAGGAGCAACTCTTGACCCAACTGCAATTAGACATTAAACAGAAAGGATGCCTCCAAGAGCGACACGCGGCCCCTCCTGGCTATTGCAGTTTTTAAAACTTTCTGGCAGTGTAACCATCTTGAAGTCTGTCCTCCTGTGACCAACCTCGAAGGGGGAGGGAAGTGTTGCCCCACTTCACCTTTTTCTAGCACACACTAATCTGCTTTGAATTTTTTATTACCCTGTGGGAGAAACATTATGAGAAGCAAAGCAATTTATTTTAGCCCCCGATTCCAGATTTCACCCTTGGTTCATCAAGGACTCTGAGCGCACGTATTCACACTGAAGTCAATGAAATGGCTCAAATATTTGACCTACGTTCAAGAGTCACACGGAGCGGGACCACAACTACGGTACGTCTGTCATACACCATCTCCTGGTAGCATTATTTCTGCTCCTTTGCTCCACAATCCAGCTTTGTCATCCAGCTACTTTTCTCCATACGTCACTGTTGTGCCTTGCCTGTTTTGCTCAGAACCTTTTTGTGACAGGGACCGTCACATCCGATGGTATGGAGTCTAGCCCAATATGACCTCAGTTCCAGATAAGGCAACTGCTTCAGCAGAAGGCTTTCACACTGCTCTCGCTTGAGTCGCTCACGTATACAAAACCCCAAGCCTAACCCTCCTTGCCCCTTTTCCCCCATCTTGTTTCTATTCAGGGTCTTTCAGGCCCATTCTGTAACCACATCACACTGTTGGTCTCTGCTGGCACACAGGGACCACATTACTCAAAACTCTTCCTCAGCCTCACTTTCTCGTATAGAAGGACGGAGGTAATACTTACGTGCCTCACAAAAGCCTAATGAGGATTTGTTCGTGTCTGTGGAGCAATTTGATGATGAAGACACTATACACAATGCACAGTCAAAAGAATCTCTCAGGTATATTGTAATTGAGTCATATGTTTTATAAGCGGCAAAGAGTATTCAACCATATATTGTATGTAGCTTTGGTATCAGTGAACAGCAACAACATCAAAGACCTACAAGAAAAGCACGGAGCAAGCTCTGGGGCCTAACATACTGATTTAAGTTTGCAAGCACAAGTTGTTACATCAGGATGCCACAGAGTATTTTCATGAACAACAGTACCCAACTCTGTGGTGGTACACTTTATTCTGGAGTTGCTCTAAAGACATTTAAATACCTGCTTCAGTAAAAATGCATACAGTCTCCGGAAACCCTCCTCTCTTCTATGGCCCCAGCCTTTATGAAGCATGGACGACAGTTAACCCTGCAGATTCCCTATGTTCTCATTCACAGTCTACTCAGTAAGCCAGTGATTGCTAAGTGAGCATAAATACAGCATCTGATGGAGTCTGTTACTGTTAGCCCTAGCAGGCAAGTCCAATAAAGCTGCAGCGCACAGATAAATTACAACCCTTCTTCGCTACCTGTGGTTGTGTTTTCCATTGATGCAGGGGGCACATGAACTGCAAGACCAGTGCATTTGCTCTCCAAGACAAAGCTGCAGCTTGTAACCTAGAGATTTTTGACTTTATGATTATTTAGAGCAGCTGTTGTTGACTGACAGTAAAATCAAGACCACCGCATTGCCACATACAGTCACAAAGCAGCAGCATCACGCATCCTAACGCTATGCAAACATGGACTTGTGGAGATGCAACAGTCTGTGTCGGAGGGCAAGAAGAGGGGAGGGGGGAATCAAAGTAGGAAACAACCACTTCCAATAGCTGTATAAAACCATACTTAAAAATAGACATTTCCTCCTGATTACTGATCTTCAGAAATAAACATTTTCATGAAGTGATCTCAACCTGAACATAATCCTAATGTCAGATGAGACAGACCAGAGTTACTATTGTGAGCACTCCTTGTCGAGAAATCCTGACTCCCAGAACAGAGAGCATTAAGACTCCATCCTCTGCCATCAATTCTTTGCTTCCCACATTTTAGAGGTTTCTCTGTTTCACAGAGCCCATCCCCAACCTATCTCTGAAAAGGAAGAAGCATCATTCAGCATCTTGTACAAAACTCCTCTTTTTTTTTCTCTAGCCTTACCTTACAAAATAAGAACTGTTAGCTAAGCAAGCTCTTTATCGTGGCTTAACCCCAGAAAGGTGCGAAGCATAAGGAGACTGCATGCCAAGTGTAACCCACATAGCGGACGTGCCAGCTGCGTTGGACTGCGCGATCATAGGCGCGGACTGTGCCAGCGCCAAACGGGGCAGAGGCGGGTGATGGACTGTAAAGGAGGGGCGGGAGGTTTTGTGCTGGAGAGAAGCTAGCTTAATAGACAAAGAAGCATTAGCAGATTGGACAGAAGCAGCAGAAGAGGATGGCAAAAAAGCTTCGCCAGGTGGGATGGATGGCAGGTTCTGCAGAAGCGCAGGCTCGGAGTTAGAAGCAAGTAATGGAGGAGGTGGGGGCAATGAAACGTTAGGAGGGGGCGGTGGAGGGGAATGGAAAACAGATTGCACTGGCGCTCTGTTGAGGTGCTGAGCAGATCTAGTCTCACTAGATGTTACTAAATTAGAGGAAGGGGGTGGGAAGGATGAGGATGAGGTGCTGGCAACAGCCTGCAGAGGGTTTAAGCTTAGCACTGTGCTGCTAGAGACAGCACTGCTGCTGAAACTGGCTCCAAATTGATGAGGAGAGGAGGCAGAAGGCACCGCATGGTTAAAAATACCTGCAAACAGGAGAGAAAAACTCAGCTTCAACAGATGGGCTTTGTACAGTCTCAAGTGACAAGAGAAACAAAACAAAAAAGCAAAAAAAAAAAAAAGAAAAAAGCAAAATTATAATAGTTACAGCCACATACAAAAATATGCAGCATGAGAAGGCAGCAAGCAATGAGAGATAATGGTGCAGGCCAGGAGGTACAAAAGATTTCACTTACCTTTCCTACTGCCAACCTCTAAATGCCACGAGGAAAAATGGTCAGACCCAAGAACTGTCAGTTCTATACCACACGGGTAGACTTTTGATGAGATTACGTGGTCTCTAGAGTTGTTTATCTGAAGACTCAAACTGCTGCTCTTCCCTCCCCACCCTCCTGCTTTCCCACTTACAGGGCAGCAGAGGGGAGATTGTATTTCCAGCAAATCTATGTGCTGAGAGATGTGAGAGTTAGGATTTCCCGACATGGTGCCTGAATGATTATGGACAGGTAAGAAAAACTGCCTTGGACACTTAGTAACGGCAGGTTCAGACTATCTTCTAGTCCTGCCAGCTTGTCTCCAGTTTGGGCCACAGAAGCCAAGCCTGTGCAGAATCCCAGAAGTGCAAGGTGCATATGGCATTGCCCTTCCTGGCAAAGAAATGCTCTTCACGTCCATTCAAGAGCCAGAATGCTACGCAAATTCCCAACACCATCTCCTCTGAAGAGGCACTGATGTTTTGCTCTTCCTGGATCATGCTAAATCCATTCAAGGCCTAATCTCAACCTTTACTCAAGTTGACAAGTTAGAGATCCTTAACTTGGTACCATGACAAGTTAAATCTTTTACCTGCAGGCAGACCTAAGTTGGTTCCAACACAAGCATACATTATGAAATCACAAAGTCTGGGTGGATTCTTTCATTAAGGTGATACAACAAGCTCATCTAGTAGACAAAGCTCACAAGATTTCACTGTGGGGATCTGAACTCATCCTAGCATTTCCGAGAGATAGAGGAGACTGGTTATGTGGGACAGATCTGCTTCACATCCTGCAGAAGTGAAAGGGTTTCACCCCTGGAGAGGCAGTGTCAGACTTTCCTTTAGGCCCTGTCTTATACCAGAGAAAGAGTTCTGCCTACCTCCAACTGCTCCACCTGTAACCCCAGGAGAGAAGTTCCCCATAGTGTGAGAATTAGTCAGTCTGGTTGCAGCTGATGACACGTGGACCAGACTGGCAGCAGCTGGCATTGAATTAAATAAGGACTGCAATACTGAGGAATTTGTCATCGAGTTGAGGTTTGCTTGCAAGGCCATGGGGCCGAGGGGGAACTGCGATCCAGTGGTCAAAGTGTTTAGGAAAGGATGGTGCGTCTGAACAGAAGATGCTGGGTTGCCTGCTGAAGAAACAGCAGTAGAAAGGCTTTTACCATTCAGAAGGCCACCAGATGAAACAGCAGCAGAAATGAAAAGGTTGTGGCCATTTTTAAACTCCACATCTCGGTCCCTTCCTTTGCCGACCTTTCCGTTATGCTGCAAAGAGTTTTTTTCTGAAGAACCCCCAGTACGAATGCTTATTTCGCTGATCTCTTTGCCTTTGACCCCTGACCGATTTAAATCTTCTCCTTTCGTGCCGCTGAGGCCTTCGAGTTGCCTCTTGTTCAAAAAAGGATTCGTTTCCGATACTCCCACATCTTTGCTTCGCTGTGACTGGAAACCCAGGGAGCAGTTGGAAGTCGTCACGTCTGAAGCCTTATGCGGAAGAGAAGCACCATCGATAAAGCTGTGTAAACCAATGTCAGTTGACAGTCCACCATTGTACGTGAATCCGTTAGTGGAGTTTGTACTAGGGCTGAGCCCATCTGCCCCAGACGAGGGCATGGCAATGCTTTTCCTTGTGTGTGCTGTGATCTTGGCGTCGATGGCAAGGCTATCCTCGGAGGACGGCCTGAAGGCAAACAGCGAATTCTGGCTCAGAGATGAAACCGACTGCAAGGGACTATCTGTAGTTTTGGTCAGGTTGATGTCCGATATTGGTGAAAAAGTAGATTTCCATTTACTGCTATTCATGTTCTCGTTGCTTTGTGCTTGTTTCCTCCCAGATAAGCTGCCACCTAGTTTGGAAGAAAATTTATAAGTGTCAAAAAACAGCATTCACTGAATCTGCTCATTAAGAACAGGGTTTTATCTTTCAACACCCACATTTTATCAGTCTGTAATTCTATTTCTGAATCCAAAGGCAGAAATATTTGTGAGGTCACCTAAAAGTCCCTAAAATTTAGTTTAATGCTCTGAAAAAGTTTGAGAATGCTGATGTACTTTTTCCTCAGTCTTTGTACTACAGATCCCTCCCCAAACCCTGAGTTCGTGAAAAAAACGGTCAGATCTTTGGTGACCTGTGACTACAGAAAGAACTGACCCAGAATCTGTAATTATCAGCCACCTGTCTTAATTACAATTATGCAAAGCCCTGGCAGAACTGCACTCTGCTCAGCAGCACAGAAGCACAAAAAAAGCCTGCTTCTGACTAACAACTTCAGTCAGTGGCAGACACCCGTTCCCAAGACCAACCATTACAACAAATAATTAACATTCCTCACACCTACCATTTTCAACAGTCTTCTGTGGAGATTTGCTTTCCAATGATATTGTTGCAATTTTCCTTTCAATTCTAGTGGGAAAATAAAAAGGTTATAGCACTCATTGCAGATCTTTTGTTGCACATTTACCCTCATAATCTATTTTCCTCATGTTCAAGTCTTAACAGTTGACTAGAGCATATAAAGCCAAGTCAGCTAGAAAGCTGTATGTTACACTAAAGGAACTTAAAAGCATAAAAAATCCACCACAAACTTTGAGTAGAAGCTATTACAGAATTTGTGCTCTTTGCCAAGATCAGTGCACGTTCAGAGGACTTCATTGTCGCTGCTCTTTCACAACAAGAAGTAAGCTGTTGCTCACGTTTCTATAGTGGTTACTTTTCCAGCACCTTAAACAAGGAAAAAATTGCACCCACAGGCAAGCAAAGGGTGGCAAGTACTCAATTTTCAGAGCAACACATCAACAGTTTGGGGCAGGAAGTGAAGAATTTTGAATCAAGCTGAAACCAGGAGTGAGGGGGAGACAGATTCTTAAAGATTATACACAGCCTCAGTACTCCTACAAAGCAACATAGCAAAAAGAAACCTTTTCTACACTAGTTCTTTCAGAGGCCAGACTCTGTCAGCCTTGCAAACACCGCAAAAGCAGGTTCCCACATTCAAGTACTACTGCCTAAATACCTTCCCTATTCACAGTTTCAGCCGCGTAAGAGGCTTGGCATAATGGAATCGGTCTCCAAGCAAAGGGAACAAAGAAGGCTTAACACACCTCTCCCAGTTCAGAGCACCGTTACCAGCTCTCAGAGAAATCTCACCCCGAAACCTATGCCTGTGTATTCACCTGCTGCTATTGTGCTCATCTTCAGATCCCTGCTCTTCATCTGATGTTAAAGGAGAGTAATGAACGCCGTTGGTCTGAATGATGGGCTTTTCCTTTTTCAGTACCGGGGGCTGGTCATTGTCCTGGTAAGGAACAGGAGAGTTCTTCAGGGAGTTTTCAGGAGAGGAAATGGCTGTTATTTCTAAAGGCTGGTTAATGTTATTGACCTGGGCAAGAAGGAAAGAAAGCAGTTACAGATGAGAGCATCCCTTTAGAAACAAGACATCTTGTTAAGGATATTAAAAGCAGGCTTAACTTGCCCAGCTTTAGGATATGCCAACAGCTGCTTGTTTAGCACTGCCATTGTTACACACCATCCCTCATTAGAGCCCGGGATGAAAGCTTTAATACAATTTGGAAAGTATCTAATTTTCATTCTTTGATTTCATCTTTAAACATAGAAATGAAGACATGGGATAATCACTTTTTTTCTTCCCCCAAACTACCACTGCAGGATCACATGACACAACTTGTATAGCTGGCTTAATTATGCAAGAATGCCATATGCTTCTGGCACTCTTATGCTATTTAGTCAATCTTAGTTTAAACTATTTTCAAAATATTTAACCTACAGCCTAAAAATCAACTTCATTGCAGAAACAAGGTCTCTGTCATAAGGGAAGAGATTGTTTTTGATTTTTAATGCTCTGACAGCAAAGAACTCTTTGAAGATGTTCTACCTATACAGAAATAGTTCACCAACTTTTCAGCAATTCTCTCGCCTCTCAGAGGAGCCGTTTTCACAAAGGGTCTTCAGGCCAATTCTAGCTACGGGCACTGTAACAGCCTGAGAGTATGCTAAAGAATAGAACAGCTGAAGCTTATTTCTAATTCAAAGAGCTTTCCCAGGCCCTTCTCTCTTGCTAGAGCTCTTCATTTTTGCCCTTACCATGGAGTTGATATTAAGCGGTGAACCTGATGGTTGCGTAAAGAGTCCAGACACAGTAGGTAAGGATTTGCGTTTAGGGGAGACCCCGGAGTTCCCGCTGAGATTCCCAGTAGAGGATCTCTTCCGCCGGCCTCGCTTCTTCCCATCCTGCGCGTGTGCTTGGCCACAGTCCAGCCGAGTGCTCGTGGGCAGAGGACTGTGCTTGTTGGAAGGGGATTGTTTTACATGTCCTGTATTAGGAGAGATTGTAAAGATGATTCTTCTCTTGGCCTCGTTCTCAGGATCTGAAAACGCTGCATCAGACTGAAGATCCCCCTTTGTTCCTTCGGCAAACATCTTCTGAGCATCTGCATATTGCAATACCCCTACCAGGCTCTGGGAGGTGCCATTTAACCTGGGGCTTGTTGAGTGCTGGTGAGCAGGGGAGTTTTGCCCAGAGTTCCTTGACTGCATCATTAGCAAAGGATGTTGTGGAGTGGAACTCCGAGACCCTACTGAGTTAAATAGACTCCCAGAGTCGTCCAGAGCTGCCTGATCAACACTATGGTTAAGATGGGCTGGGCTGTTTGTAAGATTTCCATTGACTGCCACGGAGCCAGAAGAGTAAGAAAAACCTGTTGAAAGGGAAAGTATACATCATTGCTTCTGCTGAGTGATAGTTCACAGTGCTAGATTTCTGGGATGACTGGGAGTGTTTTCAGCTCTACCTGCGTTAGATCAGCCAGCAGCCGTGTACGACACAGGAAACTGCACAGCTGCAGTTGAGAACAGTTGTAAAAGCTGCACTTTTTACACAGTGCAGTTGAGAACGTGGCTCTGTGTGCTGACGGTTTCAGTGAGGGGTTCATGATTTTCACTACTCTTTTGCCAGTTCAGGAAAATTCACGCGTTATATGGAGATATCCTATGCTCTACCTGTTTTTTAAATGGAATTCAAGTCCAAGTTTCTTTTGGGCTATTACACCTTTTGAAATCAGGGCTCCTCTACTCTCAACGCCTTCCTATCGTCAAGGAAATAGACGGCCAAATTCAGTCCGTTTCCTTCCCCAAAGAAGAAGGGACTGTGTCATCTACACAGTCCACCTCCTTCTCAAAATTAAACAAAAGGCTGTGGCTTAGGGAGTCACAGGGGATCTTCAAAGAAACTGTGGCAGAAGAATGCCACGTGGGAGGACGCTTGGAAAGGGAATTAAGTAATTGTCATGGTATATCGTAAGTGGGTTTAGTGCTCTAGTAAGGCCTTGTCTCTGGGCTGTCTAAATGGAAGGGGTAGAAGGGAACATGGTATTGTTCTAAAACAAGGGTTTTTTTAAATACTTCATTGGTTTTATAGAAAACTGCAGCCAAGCCCTTCTTTGCAAAACAGATGCTAGAAACACCACAAGCCCCTCGAGGTGGTAAACATTAAGAACAAATGCACTCTCTGATGAGGGATCAGCTGTAGAATAGCTTCTGTATGCTAGAACCTACTGTTCCTGGTCCACAACATTTCCATATCCTGAATAGCTAAAGGCCACAATTTCAACAGATGAGTGAGTTCAGAAGCAATGTCTGCACTTAAAGGTATCCCTACCCTCTCCCGTTTGAAGTTTCTTCCTACCCAGATACTTGTGCCTTTACAACTGCTCATGAAACACCATTGTGACCTGCATCAAGAAATTAATTTTGCTATTAAAAAAAATTCCACCACCCTGTAAAATAAAACTTTTAAAGCCGGATCATCAGCTCATAGCACAGCTATGCAACACTTCGCTGGTTTCGCACATTGTAAAGATAGGAATCTCTTAATCCACATAGAAGAATTTACAAAAGCAAGTATTTATTTACACTGCAAGGTGCTGCAGTTCAGGTAAAGGCACGTCAAACCAATACTTTATGCCAGAATGCATCCAAGCTGTAGGCACGTACTTTCTCAAAACATCATCATCCATGATTCTTTGGTCTCGTTACAAAACACACATTTATCTAGCATTCTACTGCCTGAATGACCTGACAAGAAGTGCTCGGAAAACTCTGACGCGTGCACTTGGCACTGCTGTCACAAGACAGCGCACCTTCGCGTAGATGAGGCTGTTACCTGAGGTAGCCAAAGCCAGTGGCTTGTTTCCAGCAGCATTGCTTACGCCATTATGAGAACTAGCACCAATCTGCTTTTCAAGTGTCGATGAGTCTCTACTCTGATGAACTGGGCTAGGTGTGCTTCTCTGGGGGGAGAGAAACAGGCATTTTAGTACAGGAAGTATACTCAAAAGCCAACAGTTTAAACAAAATTCACATGCATTAGTAGATCTATCAAGGAAAGCGGCTCTACTTCCTAAGTGTCCTAGATTTTGCTTGTTTTGAGAAAAACATAGATCAGCATGTTATGGGACAAAAATAAATACCATGATTAATTTTACTGCGATAGTATCTAGCACACAACAGATACCATGCAGATAGAGGGAGAACAGGCTCATCGTCCCAGAAAGTTTAGACTCAGGACAGCACTGCAATCAGAGAGCGAATGCCTCAGTCCACTGTTTCACAGGCAGCCGGAAAGGAAACAAATGGTTGTATCATATCCCCAAGCCCGTGCACACAAAGTTCCCCAAAACAACCCCAAACTGAACAAGAAATGCATTAGGCTATATTCTCTGGTACACTATTTGAGGGTACGATCAACAAGCGGTGCTTTCCTAAAGCAATTGTGAAACGGTACCCTGAATAAACAATGTGTTGAAGTGAGAGATGCCATCCATAGCTAAGATTCTCTCTCTCTGAGGACATAAGATTTCTGCTTGGAGCTGGGCAGACTGTAATTCTGCTACAACTAAAAGTCTACAGCTGGAAAAAGATGATGGATTTAATACTATGAAACAACTCCAGCTTTCCAAATATGGGATTGTAAGGCAGGCATTTGTGGATGGATTCTAAATTCACAGCTCTCATGTGAAAGCAGCAAATGCTTCTCAGTTCTCTACTCTAACACTTCTGTGACAAACATCAGTGAGAAGCTGGACCAGGCTTTTCTAAACTCCTCTGCCACTGAGAGTAGCAGACACTTATCAGGCTTTCAAAAAGAGATAGCCCCAAAAGTTCTCTAGTTGCTCTCTGCTGCTACAGAGCAGTCACTCGCACATTAGGTATTACAGCCTCAAGGCGCTATTCAAGTTCATCCTACACACGTATGTGATAAAGATAGACAATTTTGAGATGACCAAACTGAGGCAGAAGAATTTGTCTCCCAGGATCATGCAAGAAGGCAGGGGCTAAGAACAAACTGACATGTGTGATTCTCTACTTTCACTGCCACAAACTCTCAGACTCTGCACCTTTTCCACCCAGCCAGACATCTAAGACTAGGATCTCTTGAGGCATGTACTTTACTTTCCTTCCTGGCTGAAATATCACCACCCCACAGACACATGAGAGGAAAAAAAAAATCTACAGAATGACTAAGAGCCAAGAGGATGCATCCCAACAGCAGCCTCCCCCGAAGCATTAGACATTCAAGATTAGCAGCCCACTAAGGATTCCGGTGCACAGCACCCCATTAACTGCCCAGTGTGATTTTAGTTAGGGATGGAAAGTGTTGACAATCCCTTACTCACCACCTTCTCAACACGGCTAGGTAGGACTACGCTGGCCAGAGGGATACTAACAGGGAGTTTATTGGGCTGCACTGTGCTGAGAGGAATACTGATAGGTAGGCTGGTGATAGTTTCTCCATTACTCACAGAGGTTCTCTCTCTCAAAACCTATAAATGCAAAAGAGAAAGTAATGTTCTTAACTGCATGCTATTACTGAAAAGACTCTCTGAACTAATGGTAACCTGCTCATTTATTTTTGTGACACACACTTTTTTTTTTTTTTAAATAATTACACGATTAAGGGTGATGACTATATAGCAAAGACAGGGCATGCATGGAGCAGCTTCGTTACCAACACCAGTCTACTGGGACAGCAATATCCAACAGCATAGAAATATGTAAATTAAAGCCACTGCCGGCCCCAAGCATAAGCAAAAGGATGCCTTAGGCAAGCTCATTTTCTATTGTCTTTGTTAGAGCTCTGCAAAAAGCACTCATCTGACAGAATTCATATCTTGAGGTCCTCTGTACACAGAATATGTAGCCAGAAATATTTCCATGGTAGCCTCCTATTGGAGGGCACCTGCTTGCTCTGAAATGAGCACCAATATGATTCATGGCTGGACCAATTACGTGGGCAATTTTTTGTTATTTTATTTTTTTAACTATGAAAGAGTCCGCTTTTCAAGTTCAAGTAGACACGCACCCGGTCAAAAAGAAGTCCTACTGCATTACTGGCACAGTTCATATGCAGACCAGTAACTCAGAGGTAAGCATGTCTTTCATGAGCACGGTACTCTCTTCGTCTAGCCAGCTCCTTTTTATTGTATTGCACCTACTGTATTTTCTGTTACTTTCCATGCCAAGCTGACCACAGAAAGGAGCATGCCTGCATTCCCTAGTTTGGCCAGCGTTTTCTTTGTTCTACCAGGTGTAACATCTCTGCCCTTGAGCACAAGCAGATCTTACCTTCTCGCCTGCAATTGGTAAGGCCGCCGGGGAAGAGGGCCGAGTTTCCTGAGGACTCAGCTTTATGCCATTTGAAATACCAGGGCTTGGATATGTAAGGCCATTCTCTTTGACATGGTCAGCTCTGGAACAGAGATGTACGATCGTTAGAATACAAAAGCTAATGACTTCTCTTTTGCAAGGAATTCCTGTACCAAACTCAAGGCACTGTACCACCTTATTTACCCAATCAGCTGGCACTGCTGGTTTTCTTGACAAAACTTTCAAAAGCATATAAAACTCCGCTTTTAAAAATATTTTTCCACAATCCAAATAAACCACTGTTATTAAAACAAGCAATAGTATTACCCCTCCTTTCCCATCCTAGGAAATGATCGCTCTCACCTCTGTATCTCATTAGTTGTTGCTTTTCCGTTTACTGCATGGTCTTGATTCAAGTGTCTCCTTAGTGCTATTTTAGCTGGGGAAAACCTGGTATAATCAGGTAAGGACAAGCTTGTCATCTTGTCTGCCTTCTGTCTGCTGCTGTGGTTTGGGGTACACGGAACTATTTCTTGGTCCAGGTGAGAGGTCGTGTACTGAGGGGTGTTCTGCTTCGAAGAGGGCCTGCTAAAGGTGTTATGAATTTCATAGGGAGTAGCATGGCCATTCATGGACAGTTCAGGGCTCATGCCATTGATGTGGGGCATAGGAAACTTAGAGCATTCAAGTTCCAGTTGGAACCTGCCGTGATCAGCCTCAGGATCACGGCTCAAATGGTTTTTATTGCGTAGCTGTACTGACAGTGACTCATCAGACGGCGTGTACGACTTCAGCTGCATGAGCTCCTGCTGTCTTTGACTTTTCTCAAGTTCCACAATGCTGATCTTTAAAAGAAGAAGAGAACAATTATTAAAGACCGTACTGAACAATTCTATCACATTATGGAGTTTTGCTTTGATATGCTTCTCAGGAAATTGGCCTCATTTCTGGGAACAATGCAGAACAATTGACCTACAATTTGAGAAACAAATTTCAACATGCTGCTCTGAGCTTGAGACCAAAAGGCACAGGTAAGGGGAATGGCTCAGAGACTCTTAGAAAGCACCTTTCAGATCCTGAAAGCAAACATAAGATATCTCCAACGTATATAGAGAGTATGGAGTAATTAAATTCTGCCAGTCACTGAAGGAAGCAGTCACTCCACGTCAAGGCATTCAGCAAAAGGCTGATTAGCTCTAGTGCTAATCTCACAGGGAAAGCAAAGTTCTTCAGTCACAGGAGTTTAATTTCTTTTCACTATGGTAAGTGACATTCTGTGGGAACTGATTCCTGAATCGAGACATCAGAGCACACATGCAAACAAGCAGGACCTTTCTTTTCACCAGGTCATGCTTTTTAGTTATATTTAATGATAAACCATGATTCCTTCTTCCACAGCATTACCAAGGGAATCAGGTCATAGAATCTACTTTAAAGGTTATCCACACCTTCCTTCAAGTTTACTAAAACCCTCTAATAAAAAGATTAATCTTGGGGGGAGGGGAGAAGAACAACCATCTAGCTTATCCTTTAACATCATATTTAGTTAAATACCTTTAACTGGCCCATTGCCCAAGAGCTACCCCAAGTTGGCGACTCTAGATTTGTTTCTTGCTCTCTACCTGCAATTCCAAACAGTGCTTTTGTTTCTCAGAAATCTGATTCTTCAACGCCTGCTTCTCTTTCAACAAGTTCTCCAGTGACAATGTTGACCAATCCAACTTCAGTTCTTCACACCGTGCCTTAAGCTGCGAAGACACAGGATAAACAGATGAAAAGACAACTTTCACCACTTCGCACCACCCAGGGTGCAAGCTGAAAGCCATGCACCTTTCAACTGGACATATACAAGAAGCTTCTTAGCCCATTGAAAACTCCTCTCAGCTTAAGCCAAAGGCCACCAAAATGGTCCTGTAGTCCTCACATAATGTGACAGGAGGTGGCCTGGTTCTTTCTAAAAATAGTGTTGTCACCCAGACTCCATCACCACTTCCACATCCAGATTTCCCCCGCACCTACCTTAACAGTTTGAGTTACCAAGATGAACACCACAAGATTTATGGCTACCACAAAGCAAGCACTGTACAAACTTCTTGGCCAGCGAGATCCAGATTCAGTGACAAGTGCATATACAGCTGCACAGCTGTTTACGGGACACAGCTGAGGCCAGAGCCAGCTGTCACCTCAGCATTTGGTTAGAGGTAAATAAAGGTCACCAAGAAAAAGAACCACCTGCATTCTTTCCTCCATCATTCTTCTCTGTTACAGAGGAGCTACAGCAGCCGGATGGTTTTTCATTCGTTAAGGTACTTGGAAGAAAGGGCAGCCCTCGGCTCATGACCTGTCCTCCTTACATAAATGGGAGCATCACCCTGCTACTCAGACACAAGCATTGTACACACCAGCTGTAAGCTCTGGTTCCTGAGTTCACTGTTATCCTTCTCCAGCTGTTTCGTCTGTTCTTTCAGTTGCTGATTGTGAGCAGAGATTTCCTTCTGAGCCTGAATCAGGTCATTGTATGTCAGAGCTTTAACTCCCAACTACAAGATGAAGGGTGAGAAGGAAAGAGATCATTCAATAAGGGTCTGACACCCTAATTGCAGACGACTGTCATTCAAAAGTGACACTGAGGAGATCCACCAAACTTATGCAGCTCACAGGAAGTCCCCCAGTATTCTCCAAGGCACTTTGTCATTGCTAGGAGATAACAAGGAAGGACAAAAGTACCTCACTTGGAGCTGCTGTTCCAGCAATTCAACTTTAAAACTGGCATTTAGTTTCTTGCCAGCCAAAAGAACACTATTTTTATAGAGAGCCACCACATTTCCTTCTGCGTTTCTGAACTTGCATTAGCAACACAGAGTTTGTTCAATCAGCAGGGGATGCATCCTCTACTAAAATACCACAGTGTCCGTGGTCTGTCACCCCCTTCCCTTGGATACAGAGTGGCACACAATTTCAACAATGAAGATAAAATCTAACCAAAGAGTGACACAGATTCCACATTATTTAGCATGATCTGCTGCAAAGTGGAGGCTGAAGACCTGAGACTACTCTGGTCTTACTTATTTTTATCGCAACTGTTTGCATGCAGATGACTAACAAGCATCCACTTCCACCAGATCAGGGCTACCTCATCAAGTTTCTGCTGAAAAAGACGTTTGATTTCCTCTTTCTGTGCCTGGCAGTGGGTGAATAACTGCTGTGCTGTCCCCAGTAGCTGAGCATTCTTTTCCTGGAAGAGGGAAGAGTGAGAAAATACACTTTTAGCACCAACTGCAGCACGATCCATCTTAGGAAGATGTTTACACCTAGTTTGCATAGCAAGTTGGGAAGGAATCTGAACTCAGAGGGGAGATGTATGAACTATTCCAGCTCTGTCTCAGACTTCTGTGAGCATGTGTTTGTTAGTGTTGAACACTTGGTGAAGTTAAGTAAGCTGAAAAGAGCTGTTAAGTAGTTTTTTCTGCTATATGGTAAAATATAATCAGGACAGCCTTAAAAATTCATTTTTATCCTCCTAGTGCATTGTAAAGAAATAGTAATAATCACATCCTACAGAGCAGAAATGGAACTGGAAAAGATTATCTGTATGAAATCTGTTACTAAACTGGGAACAGAATCTAAATCTCCAGAGTCCCAGTTCAGAGTTTTCCTACACAATACTCATGGAAGACACACAGTAAATGAAAATACGCTGTGGGGGAGGTAGGAGGAAAGTCATAAATAAGCCAAACCACTTCTACTTCTAATGCCAAAATTACTTCAGGGGACCACCCGACCCTTCCACTCGCAGAACATTTCCTGCCCATAACATTCCTTAACTAGATACTTGCTTACTCATTTCATGGTCATGCACTATGTGAGCAGCAAAGGGCAAGGATAGGACTGACTAAAGAGTCTCATTTATTCAGTTCCCAATTGAAAGATGAGTGCAGCAAGAGCAGGCTCTAGAGATTACACTATTCTCCAGCTTTTGCTGCTGAGGCCAAATAGGAATTGTGCAGAAACTGAGCCATCGCTCCAGAAAAAAGTGGAGGACAAGGGCGAAAAGCACCTTGATCTTCCAAGCAATCCATGTGTGAAGCAAAGCAGCAGTGCTGGCAAGTTCCGCACGTGCGAGAAAACACAGGACCTGGCATACAGCTCCTGCTGCCTCTCACGCCAATGACTTGGGAAAACAGTTGAGTCACTGCAATGCTAAACGGACTGCCATAGGTGATGCTGAAAAAAATCACTTACGCTTTCAACATCAGTCATTTCATTCAGCCTTTACAAGGAGTGGAGGAGCTGACAGCTCCATCTAAGGGTAATCTGGTGAACTAGCAGCTCACAGCATCTTGTTTATTTTAAAATCGTATTACAGAAATGTTTTTCTTGTACTTGAAACCTTCATGTAAAAGGGATTTATTAAATAGAAAATACAACAGCACCTCATCCAGCAAAGTTCTGCTTCTGCTTTTGTGAAGTTTAACTTGCCATGCTTTCAGTGTAACACTCCATTAAAAAAAAGTTTTCATACTGAATTCCTCATTTTAATGTCTTAAAGTATGAAACAGCTGTCAGACACCAACACGAAGTGATTACTTTTCCACACTCTCAATTTATACTTTCAGTGTACACCACAATATTTGCACGCTATCATTTCCCATGCTATTTTCTGTGCAAGGAGATAAATTAACTTTATGCTGACTTTCCTGACAAGTACAGAACAAGCAGAAAAATATGCTGCTTAAGGAAAAAGTTGAAAATTCAAAGTGCTGTCTGACTGTGAAAACAAATGGAAACAACCATAGAAAAAAGGTTTGCACGAACACCACATCAGCATCAACCAATACTCAGTAACAAATGGGGTGGCACAAGTTAGCCTCTCTCATCTGGAAAAAGAGTTCCCATTGCGGAAAACCCCATAAAACAATGCTACAGCTTCATGCTGACACTTTCACAAAGGCCACAGAGCAAAGGAAACCTTCCACGGGGGCTACCAAAAGCTAGAATTGGCCAGAAGTTAAAGATTATTGTTGAGCTCTGTGGGGAAAGCTTCCTCCATAGAAGTAGCAAGCACAGTCTCTCTCATAGGACTAATTTATAAAGCAATTAAATTATTCATTAATTGAGGTAAAGCAATACAAGAAGAAAAGGTGTTTAGCCAGTAAATCTCCTCCCTCTGCTGGGGAGATGGCTCCATAGCAGAGAAAAATGCCACACTTCACAGCTGCAGGGTTTTCTTCGCCTTTCCATGTATTTGAACCCACGACTTGGTAAATTTACACTTTGCCCACCAGTGTAATCTTAACACGTTAAGATTATCAACACTAAGGATGCTTCATTAAGTCTCTTGAGTCAGTAATGACAGTTTGGATTTTTTAATTCCATACTTCAATTTGTTACAAGTTTAATGAGGCATCCTGATGCTAGAGTACTCAATTCATTTAGGCTTTCCTACAGTGGGAAAAGAATAGGATGTCAAAAACCAGAAAATTCAGCTCCAAGGAATTAATATCTGTGTGTTTTTCAAGATAGCCCTCATTCAAAGTTGCTACAATCTTTAGCTAGATTAAGCACAATTTAATTATCTAAGAGCAGTTTGACTAGCAGCTCGCAGGACGCATCCATGCAGGGAAGCCCCTTTAAGTGGAGGGCAGGAATGTGTTCAGGCAGCGCATACTGCTGGAGAGGCTGACCACCACCTCTTGCTCCTGTGACCCATGAGACACTTAGAGAAGAAAAGCAGCTGCCAATCCCAAATGGGAGAAAAGGACGGGGTTCAATACACCGGCTTCCTGCACAGATGTACACAGCTTCATTTCAAAATAGAGGAAAAACACAGAAATATTGATGTAAGTCTCATTAGGTGGAGGGGCATCACAGGGAAGAGGGGAGGTGCATCTCTCCCAGTTTGCAGATGGGAAATTTAAGCACACAAAGACTGACCGAGTTAGCAATAAAATCCCCAGGTACAGTCATTCACCCTAAGCATTACTCTGGTGGTCTTTATAATTGGCCTGGTGCAACACTGATGTTAAGTGTACACAATTCTGATCGCCAGCATTTTTTCCCCCACGTCTAAGGTATCTGGTAGTCCGACAATTTTGTTCAGAAATGTTAAAAATGAGACCTACCTTTTCCTGCTCCAGTAACTGTTGCAGACTTGCTTTATACTGAGGAGTTTTCATGTATGCCATGAACTGCATGTACTGGATCTTAAAAGAGTCTGCAAAATAAATAAGGAGATGATATATTTCAAGTGAGAGAAAGTGCAATGCTCCTATTTACCCTGTTACCAATGCTCCTATTTGCTCCCTTGACACCTCTCCCCCTTTGCGCTCTCTTACTTTTTATTTGGACTGTAAGTCAGACCAAGCCATTAAAGATCAATTTAGAACATGCTGAAAATCCATGTTCTGATGCAAGCTGAACTCTCGGATCCATTAGCTACTTATAATAGGTACCCCAATGGAAGTCATGACAATGCATTCAAAAATGCAGAGGAAGATGATGGGTGCTAATGGTGTGTTTGCATGATGAAAGAGGAGTTGAACAGCTTTTAATGCACTGCAAGTAGAAATAATAAAAGAGATTAGCTGTAACAGCCAAAACCAGCCCTGAGCTCAGAGCACTCATTCCCCCAGCATCAAGACACGGCTTGCTGTACTCCTCCTACCTCCATACAGACAGATGACAAGCTCTACACCCACATTTACTCTATCCTCCAAGGAGCACTTGCTTCTCATTGTCCTTCTATCTCCAGTCTCCTATTATGCAATGAACCTTCCTTCTCCCCAGCCCTCACCACTGGGACCCTTTCATCATAAAGCCAACCACATGATTAAGTCCAGTCTGCTGCAAACACAGGCAGCCAAAACATGTAATAGATGGTATACAGAGTTTTGCAGCAAGGTTTACTCCAAACAAGTGTCATTCTTCCCACTCCCCCCCACCACCCCAACATGAAACGTCCCTCTAACTCACTCTTTTTCTCCCTCTTTCTCTACAGTAAGAAATCAGTCATAACTGTAAGACACCACAGCAAGAGAGCAGGAGTTAAGGACATCACAGATGCCCTTGGTCTCTACATAGACAGGAACATTACATCAGATTCCCAGATGATCCTCAACTGGCTCATGTCCAATGCCAAAGCCCAGAAACAGTGTCGGGGGGAGGAACCAGAAGACCCAAAAAACCACCCTCCAAGTTTTTCCTTAAATCACCTCTTGCACGTGGAGCAACCACACCACCTTTGTGACCTCAAAAACTCAGCATCTCATTTTACTTTGCTCTAAGTCTGCAGATAAAATGAAGTCGTGTTCTCCAAGATTGTATCATTTAAGAATAAGAGAATGGTTTCATTTAAAATAAAGTTATTTCTGACTAGCCATTTCCATTTAAAGTTATTTTGGATTCCTGCTAAACCCAAGCTTATTTCCTTTTGTGCCAAATGTTTGCATGATGAAAGAGGAGTTGAACAGCTTTTAATGCACTGCAAGTAGAAATAATAAAAGAGATTAGCTGTAACAGCCAAAACCAGCCCTGAGCTCAGAGCACTCATTCCCCCAGCATCAAGACACGGCTTGCTGTACTCCTCCTACCTCCATACAGACAGATGACAAGCTCTACACCCACATTTACTCTATCCTCCAAGGAGCACTTGCTTCTCATTGTCCTTCTATCTCCAGTCTCCTATTACGCAATGAACCTTCCTTCTCCCCAGCCCTCACCACTGGGACCCTTTCATCATAAAGCCAACCACATGATTAAGTCCAGTCTGCTGCAAACACAGGCAGCCAAAACATGTAATAGATGGTATACAGAGTTTTGCAGCAAGGTTTACTCCAAACAAGTGTCATTCTTCCCACTCCCCCCCACCACCCCAACATGAAACGTCCCTCTAACTCACTCTTTTTCTCCCTCTTTCTCTACAGTAAGAAATCAGTCATAACTGTAAGACACCACAGCAAGAGAGCGGGAGTTAAGGACATCACAGATGCCCTTGGTCTCTACATAGACAGGAACATTACATCAGATTCCCAGATGATCCTCAACTGGCTCATGTCCAATGCCAAAGCCCAGAAACAGTGTCGGGGGGAGGAACCAGAAGACCCAAAAAACCACCCTCCAAGTTTTTCCTTAAATCACCTCTTGCACGTGGAGCAACCACACCACCTTTGTGACCTCAAAAACTCAGCATCTCATTTTACTTTGCTCTAAGTCTGCAGATAAAATGAAGTCGTGTTCTCCAAGATTGTATCATTTAAGAATAAGAGAATGGTTTCATTTAAAATAAAGTTATTTCTGACTAGCCATTTCCATTTAAAGTTATTTTGGATTCCTGCTAAACCCAAGCTTATTTCCTTTTGTGCCAAACGAGAGCTGAAACAATGTCAAAAACCAAACGCAGACCAAGACATCAACTTCAGCAGCAAGCAAGAGAAGAGACCTCATGGTGATGCCAACAGAAGTGGGGCACGGGGGGAAGATGGGGGAGAAGCTATCCCCCTCTCCTGTTCAACATACAGCTTTCCAGAGTGGCTGTCTATTAGTAGCCCTTTGATTTACCATATGTCCTACTTTGAGGTTTCTGAGGTTCCCATGACAAGCACAGTGACAACATTACAGTCGTACCTAGCAGCTTCTGTAGTGCAGGTGGGGTAGGTGTCACCAGTAGCTGGTTAGATGAATGCCGTTGCACTTTAGGAGGTAGTTGGTAATATGGACTATGAGGTGACTTGTATGCATCTGAAGAGAGAAACAAAGATAACCTTTCAGATTACGAAAGTCAGTTTCTGGCAAGTACTTTACCATTAGATAGCACGTCATTCACAATGCAAGATCCAGTAACTTAGCTAGATCAACACGCTGCAACAAATTGTTTGGAAAGACATCTACAATTTATCCTTAGAACAGCAGCAGCAGCGACAAGCTATCAGCCACAGCTCAGCTCCAGCTTCTGGCCAAGCACCTACAGACAGATTCAATCACCTTCTTCTCACAGAGGCACACCCCCATCTCAAGGGGAACTTTGCTTTGGTGGCAAGGGAGAAGTTACGACACAAAACCAAACTAAACCTAGCAATAAAGGAAGAATGACCTCCAAGCATGCATTCAGAGCCTCAGATACTTATCTACACTCATGTGGCAAGGGGAGGCTTCTTCCTGCCAGCCTTGAACTCACCCTGAGGAGAGGATGAAGATGTCTGTGAAACAGTTTGAGCATGCAGAAGTTCTAGTGCAGTTTGGTTCTTCTTGGTCTTGCGCTCTGTATTTGCAGCATTCATTTTCTTGGGACGTCCTCGTTTCCTGCCTGCCATTTTCCTTCCTTTTTTACTTAGCTTTTTCTTCCGTGCTTTGGAGGGAGATGGCTTTTTAACAGAATTTGCCCCAGCCTTTTCTTCTTCAGCACCAGAATCCTAAGAGATTTTTAAAAGCCAAAAGCCCTTTACTCATTTCTACCTATATATGCAGCATTCCTTTTAAGCAAGCATTAATAACTTTGTTTAATAATTTTGTGAAAGAAAACTGATGCATTGTACTTAAATAGTTTGCCAGTGAAGTAGACCTGCTTGGGATAAGAGCTGTCCCCCAACATCCAAGGAGTTGTGCTCATTCTCTTCTGGACTTACTCATTACAGAAAAGGAAATCTGTAACTGTTGTCTAAGAAAAGCTGATTATTCACCCTGTATTGACTGTATTCTTCAACTAAATTTCATTAAAAAGTCAAAGTACATTCAATATTATATTTTTGTGCATGAACAGTCACTGCATTCTAACAGGATTATGCAACGGAATGAGAAAAGAAATGAGTCTTTGCAAAAGAGACTCAGCACACTTTGAACTCCATTCAATGGGTTATGACTCAGGGAAAGATCTGCAAGCTGGTGCTGAAGGTAAGCAAGGGTGGACAACCTACTCTTCTATTCATCTTGCAGTACCTTTTTTCCAGAATTAGTGGTGCAATTCCCAAGTGCAGCTTTTAAGTCACTCCATCATATTTTTGTCCATAGCAACAGCTATACCAGTTTACAGGTTCAGAACAAACACAGTCAGTCTTCCCACAGAATCAGGCTTTTCCTGACACAGATTATGAGTTCATGCACAGCTAAAGAGAAAACACATTCACTCTACGAAAATGCAGGATGTTCACCTTGTTTTCTTGAACCTTCGTTGGAGTAGTTGTGTTGCTCTTATTTTCTCTTTGTTGACGACGTCTAGCTGCCTCTTGTTCCTCCTGGATAGATGTTTTAAAAGACTTAATAATTTGCTCATATATTTATCACTTTTTAAATACAGACCACTGTGTTTCCCGGCTTAGTCTTCCACTAGAGCTACCTATAAGTGCTCTTAACATACAATGCCTAATTAGAAAAAACAACAAATTCTTTTGTTACCAGCAAGGGAAAAAACTTACCCTGCCTCAGGCAACACTCAGTGGGAAAAGGAAGATAAGTGCAAGTGACCCTTTTACACCGCATTACCTACTATAACGGGTTTCAAACATGCAGCCACAGGGCAAAGGAGATTAAGCCCCAACCTCTCCCCTTATTCTGCCCCTCGCAATCCCCCACCCCCCAGATCACACACTGGTGTTACAGGTTTGGTTTGTTGGGGTTTTTTTAAATATTAAATATTTCAATAGCTTTACCTATATCCCCAACATTTCATGTGTTGCTACATCACTTTAAAAATCTTACATGACTTGAAATGGCAAAGCCATTACTCATCATCTAATTCAACTTTGGCCAAGTCTGTAGAGGAGACTAAAAAAAAACCAGCAACTTCTATGCTTGATTTTCTACTAGGCGGTAAGGACAAGAAATTTCAAAGAGCTCACTCAAAGCCTTTCTTGTACATTCCAGGTGAGGTTTAATCTGCATAAGAATTCTGGCAATTCCAACACCTCTTCAACTTAAGCAAGTTATCAACTAGACCCTATAAATAGCCTCACCATAAAAAGCAGAGAAGTTCAAAAGTACATGGATGCCACGCTGCATTTTTTATTTTGACTCTGAGAAGTCTTTTTTCTCCCAAGTTTGGGTTATGTCAGACTGCTGAATTCAATCTCAAAGCTACCGTTAGTCTGTTTTCAACACTTACTAAGCAAGTCACTCTGAAGACTAACATTCACCTGAACTTTTAAATTAAGTGGCCTCACTTAATTCTCTTACTGGGAATACCAGCCTCATCGGTTGTTTCAGATTAATACAGCCCAGCAGTCTCAAAAATCCTCTGGCATTTTAATTCCACATGTGATAGCACAGACTGCAGCAACTGACAACACATTTCATGTCTTTAATAGCATGTCCCAAAAGTAACATCTCAGAGTGCTCTTCAGCTTCATTTTCATGCAGCTGAACGCCGGGACAGATTCAAACTATCATTTCATTCTTTAACTTCAGTTCTTTAATGAACAAATCGTTCTTTATAGACCTCCAATGCAAGGGAAAAACACCTTGTGGCTGCACCATTAATTCTGTACTAGAAAGCTCTTCAACATGATTGTATTAGTGCTTGATGGCATATGATGCTTCACTTCAATTAGCTCCACACCCACGTTCCTCGTTTATCAAGAAAATTTGATTTTCTATCAATTCTGTACATCTTTAACAAGTGACTAAATTCCTCATAGTGGCTGCTCCATTATTTTTAGTTTTCTACAGAAAATGACTGAAACTTACCCTGAGTTTTGGATTTTTGAGACTAGAAAAATAGTTTTCAAGCTGAAAATAGAAAGATAAGATAGTCATTTTCAAAGTCACGACAGATGAATACATAAGAACAAAGTATTAGCTTAAGACAAACGCAGAAATGCAGAAATTCTGACTGGTTTTCTTCTGATAAGCTACATCAAGAAGCCATTTACATTCATTTTTTTTAGTGACACAGACATGTTGTGTAGCAGGACATAATCCAAGCCTCAACAAGGTTTTATCATCTTCACCACTGCCTATCCTTGTTTTAAAGCTTTGTGTCATGTATCTCCACTCAGCACGTTATTTTCAATGAAGTTACTTTACTCTTGTACTCCACTAAAATATTTATCCAGCATATTCTTTAACAAAAGCATTATTAGACTACCGCAGACTTAGAAAAAGTGTCTTACTATCATATTGCAAAAAACTCAGTGTGGGAATAAACTATTTCTCCACAAAAGTTTACATTTCTACAGGGTTGTTTCTGTTTTCTTTAACTGAAAAAAAAACCAGGGAATGCATCAGCATTGTTATGGAGATTTGGCTGGAAGTTCAACTAAAATTGAGGTTTACTACTTGATTATGATAGAATGAAATGGTCTGTACACCACAAAGCAAACTGAAGTATTAAAGACCCACAGAGTCTTTACTCAGTGTGGAAGCTAGAGCACAAGACCCACCATTCTGCATAGTTGCATATTCTGGAGCATGAGAAGGAATTATACTTGTAAATCTATGCACCTTCAACAAATTAACAGACTACCATAGTACTGTCCATAATTATACTGTTTGTGTAACTGAAGCCGCCAGAGGCTAAGCCGTGCAGTATGATCTGCACATTTAGCTAGACTGAACAGGTAACTGGGGAAGTGCACCCATTCCAATTAGGTGTGCTAAAGGTCTGTAAAATATGCAAACGAATATGAAAACAATTCCCACCAACAAGGATCTGAAGTTGGCATGTGGATTCCAGAGCCAGTAAAGCAGCCAGAGATCTACTGGCCTGTATTTATACTCACTATGGTTCGGTCAATAGTATGCAGGTAGTAAGAAACTGGTTTCCCGGTCCATGACACAGACCCTTTCAGTGGTGATAGCTCCACAACTCTCATTATAGTGCCAATATCTAAAGGAAGAAAGTCAAGTTAGAGAATCAAAGCTCTCTCAGTTTGCCACTCAGTTCTACTCAGCTGAAACTAGCCATGCAACAGTAAAGGCATATTTAAAACAAAAAGATAAAGTTTGCATTCAGATAGCAATGTCCTAGAAGAAAGCACTGCAGCGAGTTTAAAAAGAAATTTCTTATTCTCTTGCTACGTGCACCCTACAGAAAACTTAAGAAATCTGGAAGATCTACCTTTCATTTCTTCATAGTCAGCCATTCTAGAGTAAAATTATGTGCTAGTGCAAGCTTTTAACAAACGGAACTTTCCTGTGTCTCAGAGACAACTTTTACGAGGAACCCAGCGACAACACATCTGCATTAACAGGCAGGATTCAATTAGATAGAACCAGGAACAGAACGTCATTAGATCCAACCCATGTAAACTGTAACTGCACTATATTTGGACTGGGGACAAACATGTTTTACATTTGCTTTCTTGCCTACATTTGTTTTGTTCCCTAGAATTAATAGGTAAGGGATGTGTCTAAGCATTTCCATAACCACTGAACACCAGAGTGAGTGACATGACTGCAGAAGAAATTATGGCACACTTCTAATTAAATAGAAAATTACCCAGAAGAGTCAAAAAGCAAGGTTTAGGATTCAGCAACTTCAACCACTATTTTAACCACATTTTAATACTTGTTTTGGTTTGTCCCAACTCTTTCCACATTTCCATTTCTTTTTCCAGATGGAACTACTAAGGACAAAAATGGTATTGAGAAAAAAAGGTTGCCTGCTTCTTAAAGCTTTATCTTTTCCATTACATTTTTTAAATTATTTAACTGTTCATACTTTAGATCAAACTATTAGATAGACAGGCAAGCCACGTGACTCAAATCATACTCAGGCACAAAAAAAAACTCACTGAATAAAAGTATTATGAAAAACCTTGTAGGACAGCAGCATAAAGCTAGCACAGCAGAGTGAAATCACCTTCTCTGCACGTGAAGGATAGTGGCCACATATGATGCCACGAGCTCTCAGTGGATGACGTTTCCCCGGAAGCGTCACTTCGAACAGGCCATTAAGACTGAAACAAGCCCCAGACCTAGCACATCCCATGCATGTTCATCTGATATTGGTATTTCCCAAATACAGCATGGTCATAGAATGGGATTAAGACCAAAAAGAAAATTTATTCCCACAATTTTTCCTGTTTGTAGCATACAAAGGTAATTTCTTTTCAGGACCTCTGACCTGAATCCCTGGAAGACTTTCCTATTAGTGGAAGCTATTATCTATTCTTATGCTAAGCAATCTCATTCACCCAAATCTTAAAATTATACAGAGATATAGCTAATTAACATCAACATTCACATTAAGCATTAAAAAACAGCTGATATATAAAACTTCAGCATTCTAGAAAACATTCCCAATGAATCCACACTGGGGTGAAAGCTGAAATACAATAAAGAACTGGCTCAACTGATAGTCATAATCAGGCTTCTATTAGGTGAAAAAAGTAGTACACATTGGCCCCTTTGCCTCCCCGCCACATGTTTAATAACTGCAGTCTCCCAAACCTAGCAAAGAGAGAGATAACAAAATGGTTGGAAGCCAGGGAAGAAAAGGCTTGAGAGGCCAAAAAAATGTATCTATGTAGGCAGGCCTCCTAATTGAAACCTCAGAAGTGCCGCCTTATATTTCATCTAGTTCTAGTGTGCTGTAAAAGAGGTAGTAGGCTTTACTTAGGTGCTCTTCATCTTATTAGCAAACTGACAGATGGATCTCAGCTCTCTGGAGGTTTGAGGATTTCCAGGAGTACCATTCTGCCTTTTTTCCCTTTTATTTTCAAGTACATGTCTACAAAGGATTGACAAGCCAGGACCCAACGGTTAATAAGGTTCCAAACAATCAGGTGCCACAGAGAAGAGTATCAAACAGGAAGGAAAAGGGCAGTTTTGGGCGTCCGATGCACAGGACGTTCACAACAACTCAAGCTTAGTAAAAATAAGTCACAATGGCACTATTTCAGTGAAATGCCTTAATGACAGTCTTCAAATTGCTGTTCTTGAAAAGCAGTTTACCATGAGTGTCAAGCCAAAAACTGGAAACACAGCTTGAGATTTGTAACTCAGTATGTTACTTGCCATGTTTGCACAAGGAGGGGAATAAAGGCGTTTTTTAAATTTAAGGAATGTTTTGCACTGGACACAGTAAATATATGTAAAACCCATCTTGGATCATTCTTTTGCTTGAAAATTTTCAACAATAAAAATTGAAAAAAGGTCAGAAGCAAAACCAACAACACGGGGTGTTAGTAATCTCAAAACCTCATTAAACTGCAGTTCACATACTTGCAGAGGACAACATTGGCAAATATCAAGTCTACTACATTCAGAAGAGAATAAAAACACAAAACTTGGCAATAAAACAGACACAGCAACTGGGCATTTATGGGATAGGTCTGTTTGATCAATTTACAGTACAGAAGACAAGGCATTCAAAGTTGAACATTTCAGCTCCTAAGCCTTACAAATCATGACTGGTGAGATTTACCTGTCCAAATTCAGACAGCTACCGTATAAGGAACTTGCATGCAAGTTATCACTGCAGCTCTTTGTAGTTAAAGAAATAAAGTCACGCCCTTGAAACACCTTATTTCTCTTCAATTATAAAAGATGCCCAGCAAGGGAAACATTGACATTATAGACATCTAAACACAGCAGGATGAACCCCATAAAAAGAGTGTCTCTTTGTTCCAGTGTTGGGTGGGGGTTTTTTGTTTGTTTGATTTTAAATACATGTCACTTCAGCATGTATGCTATAGTAATACAACAACATTTTTCTACTTACTTACACAACTCTTTAAAGAGAAAGAAAAACCCACTACAGACATGTTCAGATAATGAATACACCATAATTGTAATGAACAATAAAAAGGGCAATCATACCACTCAAGTTTCGACTGTTAATTCTAAAATTTAGAGGTGCAAAAGGTTTTGAGGACACAATTCTCCCACCTGGGAAAAGAAGAAGAAAAAAAAAAAAAAAAGAGTCAGCTACCACTGTTTTTCTAGAAATGAGTACTTATCAAATATAACCCAGTAGAGAGCCCTAAAGAGTAGCCCTAATAAAACTACCATTGTATATAATTGCCAAAAAAAAAAAAAAAAATTACTTAAAGCTCATCCTGACAGCATCCAAGAAAGTCAGTATATTAGTCCTGCTAGGTAGCTATGAGGTGACACCGTAAGGATCACTTTAAAATGACAGATCTTAAAACACTTCCAAAAAAAGAGTGCATTAATTCTCAATGGCAATCTACAGAATTTCAATTAGGAACACGGCTATCTCATTCCTAGTTAGTATCTTTTATACACAAGCCCCCAAAGCCCTTTTATTTGAAAGAACGCTAATCTCCATTTCACAGCTATTTGCGGTCATTCAGCCCAAGGCACAGAGCCTGAGGACCTTCTGGGAAGAGAACTAAGGTTTCTTCATTTTGTAAAGAGCGCTTGAACCTTCCCCACCTTGCCACTTCTCTTAAGCCACCACTAAATAAAAGTTCTTTTTAAAAAAAAAAAAAAAAAAAAGATCAACCACTAAAATTAAAGAAGACGGCTTAAGTTTGGGGGTTTTACTGTTTGCAACAGAGCCCAAAAGTCACATTATTTGCTTCAGCACAAAGCTGTACTATGGGAAGCCACAGATTCTTTGTTCATGCCACACATTTTTCTTTTTAGAAATACTTATTTTTATAATTTCTGCCATAGCCAAATAAAATTGTTACTTATCCAAGCGGTTAAGAGGAAAGAAAAAAGACACCTCGGGCAATGTAAGGGCCACAGCGGGGTTACTGGGCATCCCCAGTCACTGGTGTCTGCAATGCGACTTCTCAAGAAGCACACAAGACGTCCAGTGACAGTGCCCCCATTTTAATATTTATTAGTTAATACCCAGTACTAAATGTGACAACTTTAAATAGCAGAGTCCAGTAACTGAATTCAGTATGCAATGACAGAAACTGGATTTACAAAGCCATGCCTGTGCAGTCAGGAAGCTTTGCAGTCTTGGCCGTTGCATGTTTTGCCGGCTCCCGTAACGGGTAAGAAAGGACCGGCAGTTCCTCCCACCCCAGCAGAGCTCCGCACAAAGCCTTCACAGGCAGAGCTACTTCCAAGTTATCGGGTAGGTCAGAGTAGGTATTAAGACACGAACTAAAAAGCCCAAGAAATAACCATTGCGGTGCAGACGCTTGCCCGCAAGGCACAGAATGGAACCCACCAACCTGGCTTCTGATGGCTGTAACTAAGCCCTTACCACCACCAGCTCCCACAGTAAGCAGGAAACCAATGGAAAAAGGTTTAAAGTTCGATTTGTTACCTTCCTTCATGTTCGCAAATCGCTCCTTCAGTTGGTGATCCACCTCAGGACCAAAGGCAAAATTATTCACAAAAATAACACTGCAAGATAACGGTCTAGTTAATGAAAAGGGACAGGCAAACGGCACCCAAGTATACACACACAACCACCCCCCACAACCACAAATCACAGTCACTTGTAGCCTTTACAGCCACTTATGAAACTGAAAAACGCTGCTTGTCCCTGACTATACAGCTACTTCCATCTCACCAAATGCTTTCTTCTTGCATAGTGACACAAAACAGTACCTTACCTTCAGCATTCACAGACACTGCCCACATAATTACATTTAAAAAATTTTAGAGGCATCCTGCTCTAACAGTTCCTCTCAGCATACAGGTGAGTTTTGCACTGTAAGTTTCAACATAAAAACAACATGCAAAACGTTTTCACCCCTCTGCCATGGTGAGATCAAACACCAACAGGGCAACTACCAACACACTTGCAGTAGTTAATCCACACATGAAAAGCAATACTCCAACACAACAAACACATTTCATCCCATTATTTCTTCACGTACATTTAAAATATTACAGCAAAACATCAAAATATATTTTCTCTTCTAGCTCTAAATTCCCCCGTAACGCAAAAAGAAAGTTGACATCACTCAGCACGTTTTCCCTGTCCTAAACCCAGCACTTCACCCTAACCCACAACAGAGGGTTTGCATCTTTCTTTCTGGGTTAGGAAATCCAATGAGGGGGTTTTGTTCCTGAAAAAAAGAACAGTCATATGGGAACAAAGAAACCTGCACATAGGTAGAATCACACAAATGATAAAAATCTTTGTGAAAGAAACAGAACACGTCACAGATTTAAAAAGAAATACCCCTTTATTTTTAAGAGCCTGGGCCTGGTCTAATTGTCCCTGGTGCCCGCTTCCTACCAGCTTGCAACAAGAGTCCTCAACATCTCTTGGAAGCCGTTGAGCACCCTGCACCCATAAACTGTGAAAGCCATTCTGGCATATTGTTTCAACATGAAGAACTGATTTCTTTGCAAGAGGTCTGTTTGAAGACTCCCCTCCTAGTGCCTCCACACATGAAACATGTTCAACAAGGACACTGAGTTTAAGAGCAGCAGCCAAAGCTATTAAAAACCACGGCCGAAAAAAATTTTTTTTTTTCCTTTGGTGTATAAACAAAGTTATTCTTGCTACGCCTTGCTCTTGGAAATTTGGGAAACCCTGCCTGGCAAGTAAGGCTAGCAGGGGTTTCTTCCTCCTCCTTCCCACCGTGTGCCAAAAAAGAGGCCTTGCAAAAGAGCCAAGCATATTAATGGGACTAGAAAACATCCAGGAAAGGAAGGGAAAAAGACATAGCTTGCCAGATGTATTTTTTTTTAGTGTTCATTCTGGCACAATATTTTGTATGCACATGACAGACGCACAAGAGCCCCCAGTCCACCTTGACTTCAGCCCTCTTTTCAGCACGTATTGCTAAACCACAAGTACAGTTATTAACAGGAATACTGCGTGCTGCACAGCTTGCTTACATGTCAGCACTCAGCCACGTAGAAGCGTGTTCTGGTACAAACGCGCCCTTCCCTTCAGAGCCTGGCCGCCGGTCCACGCTCACAGGAAGGGTGACACTTCAACTTACTCTAAGATTGGATGGCTCCAATGTGAATTCATCAGACAATCTGCAGTCTCATCAGATAGAGCAGACACTGAACAGTTGGCACACTCGGAACAAACACAAACACCTAACAGTTGTGAGCAAAAAGCTGCTGCTTTTGGAATTTCTGTATCAGAGAGCAAGGTGGCTGTCGATCAGTAGGCATACAATCAGCTGCATACCATACAAAATAAACATCTACCAGCATTTCTGCATGGAGTTAGATGTACTTCAGCTAAAAAATTGAGGAAAAAAAAAAAAAATTAAATTTGTTCCAAGGAAAGTTGCACAGACAGCAGAGGAGCATGCATTTGGAATAGCAAGCAACAAAGGAAAACCCCACTATGCTGCAAGGCTGGGAAAAGTCTGTCCACAAATTAAAAGGCACATCCAGAAGTTTAACTGAGGTACATAATAATGCAAAAGTCATCAGCCTGGCAGACGCCTTCTTGATGCAGTGCTCTTAAAACAGCGTCTTGGAAGCAATCCCTCAATTGCCACAACGCTGAAGACTTTCAGAGAGTCCTCTTTGACAACTCTCTTCCATTCCCCCACATAACAGGATGGCCCAGAAGGTCATATAAAAATACTTTTTTTTCCTGTCCATAAGGCTGAAAGAATGTAAAGCCTTCAAAAATACAGAAGAATATTTTATTGCTTTTAACAAATTTACTCCCTTTTTGCTACCATCAAAAAGGAGTCTAACCCTCTGTATGGATCTTCACAGAAATAAATCTTCAAGACAATCAGCTTAAATGAATTCCCAGTTTAAGTTGGAACAGACTCACTTGGGTCTTTTGCCTTTTTTTTTTTCCCCCACATGGAAAGTGAGCCTAGCTGTATGCACCAATAGCCAAGATAACTAGTGTTTTGCCAGAATCACTGAGATGAACTACAAGGATATGCAAAACAAACAGAGGTTTATACTTCTCTGTATAACCAGAATTTATCTTGGATACACCCTTGTATGTAATATCACGGGACATGCATTTAAACCCATTCTTCTAGTCAGAAAACAGGATCTAAAGAGGCCAGTATAAAAGTTGGCAGATAGACTTTTGGTGTTTGCTACAGAAATTCTATATAAAAAGCTGTCCAGCCTCCCAATTTCCATTATACAAACTCCCAAACATTCAGTTCATAAAGCAGCATTCAACTGCTGTACTGTACCTTGTGTTTGCAATTCTCTCTCTCCATTCTTCTGAGAGGAAGTCACCTCTTTCCAGCTTAAAAAAAGACAAAGAACACAAAAAACCACACACACACACAAGAGTTAACATTGTTCCTTTCTGCTCCGTATCCCTTTTCCTTTGGAGAAGGCCAAACATGCTGTACCAACTCAGTGATATTACCACAAATAAGGCCAAATGAAGTCTTCAGGAAATACCGAGGAGACAAAGCGCCCAGAGCTCAGCAGCTGGCTCTGCCCGTTCCTCGGGTCCCGCAGGTGCCTCCCTCTCTGCTCCCACCCTCAGCTGCTCTCCTGCCACGGGATGAACAGGGAAGGGTCTCCGGGTATCACCAATGCCCTATGAAGACTGTGCTCCATGGAGAAGCCAGCAGTGCCGTACAACACCCGTACCAGAAACGATCAGCGAATGCCTCCTCAAGTCCCCGCTGACCCCCGTGGTTCGGTCAGCCCCTCTTAGCAGAGGAGGAACCGGAGCAAAGAGATTCGGCACAGCGCTTGCTGGAAACACTGGCTCGTAATTCAGGCTCTTGTTGCAACGAACAGACAAGCATCCGATTTTTCTGTGGTACTAAATACAAATCTTGAATGCTTCTAACACTTTCAAGTTGGAAATCAAGTAACATAAAGGCCTTATTTGAAAATAATTACAGATATGACTTCAGTGACTTATATAGTACCTTTCTGATGAAACCACATCAAGTCCCAGGTTAATACCCACAACTACGTAGCTTTTCCACAGATTAACGTTTTCTCAGTTGTGCTTTTGAAATGAGAGAGGAATCTATGGGCCATGCCGGTTTGCTGTGCCACAAGTAAGGCAGAAGGAGGGTTGGGGAAGGAAGATAAGAGGAGGAAAGAAAAAAATACTATGCAACTATATAATTAATGATGATGACACACTTTGAAGGGGCAAGTAAGATGATGTCTTATATCAGAACCTCAGGAACATCAAAGCAATGACAGTGGCTGCTTAGCATCCTTTTTCTGCATATATTCCTTTGTATGGAAAGAAGTTAGCATTTCACGTGCCAGCACTTATTTTCATTTAGTGACAACTCAAACAGAAGTGCCTCCGCTGCAATGCAGACACACTCAAGCTACTTCCAAACCTCACTAGCTAAGCCAGGACACCTGTCTCAGCAAAGCACCAGAGCCTGGTGTCTTCCACCGTAGCTTTCTCTTCCCAGCAGAGCAGTCCGATGCCACTCAGAGCCATAGAAGGGATGACAAACGGAGGTAAACACGTCTGAACCATCGTGAAGGACAAAGCCACAGTTGCCAACAGGAGTGGGTCTGCTTCTCGGGAATACAGGAGGGAGGAAAAAAAGAAAAGAGAAGTCCAAATGCCCTGCTGCTACACACTGCGCAAGAGGGCTGAGAAAAGCGAACATGGAGGGTTCTTGGGCAAGAGATCAAGAACTTTGCAAAGAGCCTTAAGCGTTACAAAACTAAACGTGCTGAAAACAGCAAGTTAGAATAACTAAACTTAGTCAGAATTATCTGTTCTGCCAAACAGCTAGGCTGAAATAAGACTTTAAAACAGAATTACTACCTCTATTCTCACACGTGCTGGGAGGGGATGCATGTTTTGATAACCCCGCTATAGTAAAGACAAAGCATATGTTGGAGACTGAACTCAGAGAGATCCAACCTAACATACTACTAGGCATTTTCAAAATCTAAAGCAGAAACTCAATGCAACATCAGAACAGTTCTAAAGAGCACCGAGTTTTTCTCACCTCATATATGGAAACATTTTTTTCTGGGGCTCTATATGCCCTATTCGTGACTGGAGACCATCTCTAGATTATTAAGAGATAATTTTGACTTGTCTTACCTGTTCTTGTAGTAAATAGTTTCATGGTTGAGTAACCAAGACACAGTAGAAGAAAACCCACATGCAAGGCAACTATATCTATTTTACAACAATTTTTGCAAGTCAGCTTCTATATTGCAGTCCTTCACACCACAGTTTCTAATGCCCACACGAGGTTTTCATACACGAACAGGAGAAAGAAAAACGTTTGAAAAATAAGGAAGCATGATTATAAAGCCATAGTCTAGCAAGAGGACAAAGAATCAGTGTAACATGAAACTATTTTGAAATACTAAGCTTCATATAAAGCTCTTGAAATCTAACCTAAGTGGCTATTATACTTTATTTGGATCCAGTTACACTATATGTTTGTCCTGCCTCTGTGGTTAGGAAGAGCGCAGTTATAACCGAAATCTCCATGCTTTAACCTGATATAACACATGGGGGCTGAACACTTTTTTCCCCCTGTCTGCTTTTGCAAAATATAGCCATGTTACAATTCAAATGAACCACAGCCCTCTTTAAACCCATCTCTTTTTGTATTGTAATGCTACCTAGCTCATACTTAGCCAATAGTTGAGGGAAAAATCTCACCAGGAAAAATACTGGAGTACAGAAATAACCAGATGGTCAACTGTGGTTGGGAGAAAACTGGTTATTTTTTCCCCTCTGGAAGCAAGACAGTGATTCCTGGATCAGTGGTCTGCTACATTCAAAACGGAGTACAAGAGCTATCTCATTGACTACTCCTGACAACCAGTTTCTTCACCTACTGCACTTGGGGAGCAGTGATCAATAAATGATGGCCTAAAAGGAGGCAAGTAGGGCCTTCCCCATCAACTGACACAGGGGATTCAACAAAATCCCCCCAAAATCCCAGTCAACTCTGTGGTTTACAGTAATTTTGAGAGCGAAACAAGAACTGGTAAGGAAACTCCAGCTAACTAACTCCTGGCCAAGGGCTGCAGTAGCTAAACCAGTAGAAGAACATGGTCCGCTATGGTCATGTAAGGGAAGGCGGCACACCAGTGCAAAGCAGCGGTGACAGCTACGGGGATGCACTCAATCTCTTCCCACCAGTGTTCCCCACCCCTATCATGTTCCTCCCCTCTCTGCAAAACTTAATCTCCTTAGTGAATAATGAATGGAAGGGACCATCTGTAATGCAGATATTTTCATCTGATTAGACAATGCAGGAGACATGCTTTATCTAAAAGGATAATTAGCTCAGTGAAATCCGCTTCAGAGAGCTGCCAGCCTGCATTGTTTCTAAATTTAGAAGCCAAAACAGCTTTTTATTCAGGTTTTTCAAACAGATAAATTTGCTCTACAGAGACTACAGAAATATGCTCAACGGCATCCGATTCCTGTAACTCTTCCTGTAACTCGAAGAAAACCAGCAGGTCACTGCCCGGGGGAAGCAACAAGAGGTACACTCCAGCGGCTGTGCATTCATCACGTAGCAGAGCAACAGTTTATGAAGGTCAAGCCCCTCTGCCGCGGAGGAGGGCTTCATTCTCGCCCCAGCACTGGGCTGGGAGTCTCTCTGGTAACGCTCTGTTTGACCGGCTACACAAAGCCATAAATTCACACGCAGAATGCCTCATTCCAGCAGCCTCCATGCAAACACTTGGCTCACAAAAACCAGTCATTTCTGCCTGGAAAAGTACACATGGTTATTTTTAGGTTCCTGTTCTTTTTAAAAATAACTGGAGGCATGATTCCAAACCTCCAAAATGTGGCATCATTTCAAAGCCACAGGGGACATTTGGAGGGCTTTTCAAATACCAAAACGTCAAGTTTCCCGCTGAAATAGGGCATTCAAAAATATCTGGGACAAACAGATATCTTGCCATTTCCTCAGCTGCAGTGTACTGTTAAGCAATGGAAGTTTTTAAGTACAGGTGATGTCAGTTATCCCCACCAACCAGCAGCTGGTATCAGGCAACAAGAGACAATGAAACTCCTACACAAACCACCCTGCTTTTGCTCAGGATGGAGATTTCCAGAAAAACAAGCCAGACAGTGCACCCCAAACTCAATCAGAGACAAGCCTCCAAGTTTTCAGATGCCAGGCTTCCACTGATTTAGGCACAAAAAAATCACCTCTAACCCACGGGGCTGAACCACAGAGCATCTTCGGGGGTTTCCCCTGAGCAGACAGCATGTGCGTCAGAGATGTCCATCCAGCCAAAATCCCAGCCTTTAGCAACGCTGACCTGTGTTCTCCCACGCTTATTTTGAATACTTGTAGATGATTTCCACCTACTGCTAAAACAAGCTTTTATGGAACAGAGGAAGGTATTCGGTTATAACAACCCTAAGTAAACAAAAACAAAACAAATCCTTGTCTTCAGCAGGTCCAATGTGCGACTGCAGCTACCGCCAACTTCACTTGCAGAGACCTGCTCTAACCTATGACTGGAAGAATACCTTCCCCTAGCAGAAGAGTACAACAGGTAGCAGGCACTGAGGACACACTGAAAACTTTCTTCAAGGGTACCCCAGGAAGACCACTTAAGCACTATCTGCTACATGGCAATCTCAGCATTGTGCCCTAGATACCTGGAGATGGCTCTGATTTTGAGGCCACATGAGGATATTTACAGTTAGAAACCATGAAAACCCATCTGCCTCTTAATTGCAATACCGCTTTTTAATTTGATGACTGCACACGTGCAGAAATTCCCCAAGAAAGACTCGCTAATTATTTAGGCCTGATGACCTTAGAAAAAGTCTCCTGTTTCCTTCAGACAACATCTTTCTTGAAAAGAATGGCCTAAGGCTAATCTTGGAAACGTCTCAGTTCCATGGGAAGAGAAACAAGAAGATAAAAGGAGTTGAAACAAAGTGAGATGTGTTGGAAGCGGAACATTCTAGTCCAAAAAGCTGAAGCAGCTGATGATGATGAAACAAGCCCTAGAAGTATAATGCATTGCCTCCAAATGCAAAAGAGAAGACTAGCAAAGAATATGATTATCCCTAACCGATCAGGAATTAGACATCAACAACCATACAACCATAGCACAGGGATGTAGATATTTATAGCAAGTTGAAACACATCAGTTGAATATAAAAACTAAGAAAGATTCTTATCAGAAAGTGTTACTCTTGGGGTTTTTTTTCCCCAATTAGAATCATGAGATTGAACAGCTCGTCATTTAAAATAAAACTCAGTTCATTTAACAGGATTATGAGAGACAACTACCTACAATAGCTGGAGATCAGGAGACTTACAAGCCAATGTATGACGAGCAACCTTTCTCCCACTCCTCTCATGTCCCAAATAGATCTTCCCACTCTAAAGCTGCAGTGATGACCCACTACTAGCAGCTGTAGCTCTGCAGAAGCCGTAGGCATCCAACATGTCTCAGGACACTTTTCCACTAGCTACTGGCAAAGTTTAATGTGCAATCATCATCTGAAAGTGACTACACAATGATGTTTTGTTTTACTGAAAAGATCTGCATATATGTGACTCTGCGTATTTTGTATGGAACCATTTCTCAAAAGAGACTTTTTTCTATGATTGTGGATAAAATAGAATGGAAACATACCTGGACAATCAAGTTTTATTTTAAATGTTGTCACTGGACCTTGCTCATCAGAAGTCATGTGTCCAAGCTCAGAACTCCCAGCAGTAACAAGAATATTCCGGTGGGGAAGGCGAGGAAGTGAATCTGATGGTTGCAGAGCTGGTAAGGGCAATCAATTGTTGCCTCACCAAAACACTGCTAGCTAAAAGACAAGACTTAAGACAAGCAGATGATCACTTTTCAGTGAGAAATCAAAAATCCATTTGTATTGGAAACCTATAATTGTACTAGGCTCTTGGCTGTTAAAAAACCCACAATCCTGCAGGCCCAAGTCCAGGATTTATTGCTGCCTTATGTACCACAGTTTTTACTTTTACAGCAAGGCAGCTGTTACGTGCATGAAGTCAAAACCACGATCCACATTATTCAGACAAAGCTGCAGGTGGGATCTGAGAATTCTTCCCACTGAACTTTTGCCAAGCTTCCCTCCTCCAACACTTTATTCTTCTCAAAATATTTATTTTTCATATCACTGCCTAAAACATTAGAGTGGAATTCACAAGTTAAGCTCTGCTGATGACAGACTATTTCAATTTGTGGTTATTTTGTCTCCAACATTTGGAATTTTGGGACCCCACTAAGCATTTTGCAGGGACAAAGTTGTTTTCCAGAAGGATAAAGATACCAGGCTTTTAATTCTGTGCCTTCCAGTGTCTTCTAGCTGCATTATGAGACAAGTTTGCTCTCTGTTTAATGATAGTCACCTATAGAAGATGCTGTCTAAGGAGCTACTAAAGAAAATGCACTTTGGCAAAAAACACAATGTAAGCCTAGGATGTCTGATGAAGCAATAAGAACTAAATAAAATCTGCCCTGTGTGTCTACATGTAAAAGACCAAAATCTATCTTCAAGCATCACTACGACAAGGTGATAGGAAACCAACTTTCCTTAAGACAAGAAGTACTGCAAGTGTTCAACTCTTCCCAGAAAAGCAGACTGCATACTCAAGAGAAATTTTACTCTGAACACTTTTCAGAGAACAGCTATAGAAGCTAAAGAACCTAGTAAAAAATAAGTAGCTTTGTTTCAATATAGTACCAGACTCTGTCACTTGGAATGCACAATATGGAAATGCTCGCTGCCTACGGCAATCAATATGCTTTCAATATTTTACTCCAAGTTCCTATCCTATTCTTTAAATTACACAGCTCATAAGCAGAGTATCTTCAGTAACAATTCCTTTCATGTAATGCCAGCTGGGTGACACAATGGAAAAATGCCATATGGCCACTTCATGAAAAGTAAAGCATTCACAGTGTTTCCACAGCAGGAAAGAGTTAGCAGCCTGATATCAATCCTGCTACAAACTAGTCCCCCAGCAGGCCCAACATCCCTCTGAAGAAAATCACGCCATGCAGTAAAGGCATTTCAGGAAGAAAGTGCACAGAGGCAGGTGGCACTATCACCTTCTCCAGCCTGCTTCCCGAAGGGAGAGTTGTAGCATCCTTCGTTACAAGATAAGCCCTCTAAAGAGCACCAGGGATCCCAGCAGACACAGAAAATTGGGAAATAAAGGCTGGCCATCTACGACCTGCCATTTGATCCCACACTGCTGGAACGCTGAAAGCCACGTGGTTCAAACCATTCCAGTAACATAGCAATAATGGCTCTGTACAAAAGGAAAATGAAGTAGCTCCCCAAACACTTGCTCGCACTTCAACTGCAGTACAACATTGCTAGCTGCAGCTTCTGAGCAGGAAAGATTGACCCAGCTTCTCTGGGCAAGTAGGGAACAACCCTGATATATCCAGCTTCTTCCTTGACCATAGGAAAGTGGTAGGAGAAGCATGAATACATGTATTTTCAAAACTCCCAGTGGGTTCCTATTGTACTATGATTACATACATTTCCTCACTGGAAAGTGATTAACTAGGGAGCAGATTTTCTTAATGACATTTAAGAAGGGGGGGGAAAGGAAAAGGGGAAGGAATGACAAACGACAAGTGTGTGACTCTGCATATGCTTCACATTATCATTACAGAGTGGAAAACACATCCACAATCATTAAGTAACATTCGGAGGAAGGAGAAAGCTATTGCAACATGTGTCCCTACCCCCAAGCAGAGATACCCTGTGATGACCCATTTACTCCTCCTGCTCTAGCTCCACCCTCAGAGCATCTAATTCCAATCCTTTCCAAATCAGAGCTAACCACCCACCATCCTTCCCGAGCCCACAACCCATGCCTTACCTCCAACTACAAACCGTCTATCCTGTTAATTGGTCCTGGAGTTTTCTGCTCTAATCTCACAGTGCTGGCATTTGTCCAGAACATCAACCCCATGATCCCAATGTTGAAACCCCTGCCATCCCATCCCCTCCACCACCCGTCCCAGGTGACCACACCTTCACCTGCCCGCAGAACCAAAGCTTTAGCTTTCATTTCTAGCAGGAGATTTCAGAAACCCAAGGAGGAGCTGCCATTTTCAGTAGTCTACCCAGCAGAACCCCCACACCAGGGGCGGGGGGAAGGAATTAAAAGGAGATTTAATACAAACAGAAGACACATGACAGCCCCAGTTAAAATAACAACTTTTTAGAAGAATAAATCTTCCAAGAGCTTCTGAAAAGACCTGAAAGTGCTCCCAATAACACCATACCACATGTCAAGCAAGACAAAGAGAGGGGCCTGGGAGGGTGTCTTGGAGAGCACCATCCTCAGAATCAAGATAAAAGCCAGGAAGCAGATATGACTCATACTGCTGCTTGGCTGGTGAAAGGCTGAAGAGGACTTTGCAAATTCTGTACATCAGCATGGATCACAAAGTTTTTCAGCTGAATTTCACTCACTGTGTATTCTGCATGTTTTTTCCCATACCATTTCATCCACTTTCTGAACTCTCTGTCCATCGTCTAGAAGAGGGAAGAAAAACAAAACCACCTATTAGGACATCTCGTGTTACCAGTTACATCACAGTAAAAGGAGATGAAGCTCTGACAGTGTTCATTGACCCCCAAGACTTTTTCTTTGGTTGGTTTGGGGTTTTTTTTGCCATTAACACTCAAAGGATAGGCAGACAGACAACTACTGTAGTTTAATTTCCTTAAAAAAAACCCCTTTGCTTTACCAGGGCCAGGTCAAAGCTGGCATCTTCTCCCCTCCCCCCTTTTCATCAAAGTTACATTATAAGCAAGGCAGTCTGACTTGACACTGCTCAGCACTAAAAATGGCGCAACCTTAAGCAGCTACTGCGTTGTGGTACATAATCCCACAGCAAGTAGGAGGCACTGAATGCGGCCCAGTCTAAGCCCAGATAGCAAAGGAACAAACAGGATAAAGACAGGTCCGCCAGGGTGAATGAGAAAGCAGAAAGCGGCATGCAAAGCATTGCAACAGCAAACAGAAGGAGCATCGCGCTTGCCGGAGCAACCAGGAGGAATGCTTCAAACTACATCCAAACAGACCAGGGCTGCAGACGGATGGAAGGCTGCTACTACCTAATCAGGTAGCTGGCACCGGTTTTCCATTGCCCAAATATAGGGGAAAGGAACCGAAAACCCCAGACATCAAGACAGCTTGGTACCTTACAAATATGCATCTCCACATTTACAAAATCTTGTCCCCATCTATATAAATTGACAATATGCAGCACAGGTCATTACTTTAGAGTGACAGCGAGGGTCCAGCTAGACCTATACAACACATCTGAAAATGAAACTCAAGTGTCTTGGAAGACTGAAAAAAATCTCCTGATCTTTAGGATTTGACTCCATATATGGGAGGGCCCAAATTTGGAGGTAGCAGGGAAAGGAGATAAGGGAGAGAAGATAGCAGGAATTCTGGCTTCACTGACAACTTGGAGATGATGGAGACCTCCATCAGCAGGTCAATAAAACAGTGTGTGTTGACAGATATGTTTTAAAATTCTTTACATTTCAAAAGCACTCCAAAGCTTAGTAGGATAACTCCCAAAAATCTTCAAGTGTTTTCATATGCTGTATGAACTTACATTTTATTTTTTTTTAAGACAACTTCACTAAAACATTTCCATAACATTCTTCCTCTTTAGCTCAAGCTTTTCAAAGTCATCTGCATTAATTATCATAGTAACCAGAGATGTGTTGCCACAGCCAATCTTAACTAGAAACTTAATCCAATCCCTTCCACAGATGTTTGTCAGAGATGGGGCAGAAAACCGGTCCATTACAGCACAAGGCAGATTAGCTGTACACAGGCAGCTTCACATATTCTGACACTGCAGCAGCCGTTTAGTTGTTAAATCTGACAGGACATCGTCTGTAACCAGAAGAATAACGCAGTATATTTCGTTCGTCAAGTAATCTTATGAAATACTGGTGTACTCCTGAAACTGAAGGTACCCCATGAGTTAATACTCCTAATATTCAATTTGTGGGTAATTTTTTTGTTTGCTAACCATTTTCACTAAAGCCTTGTGTTTGCACAATGACAGGAAGGGGTATTAGTGAAAGTGAGAATTTAACTTTCCCTTTGTAACACTGATCTTTAAGTTTAATGGTAAACAGACGGGAGTCCAGGCCTTGCAAGTGACTCCCTGATGAAACCAGAACACTCACGCAGAAGGACTGCAAAGAGCACTCCAGTTGGAAATTTCCACTGGGTCATGGCAGGGGAAACAAAATGGATTTTTAGATCCTTGTCTGATCCTCTTCACCACTGTGTTTATGCATTTTTGCCCACACCACTGAAAAGGAGGATCAAGGATATTTTTTTTTCTCCTCCCTTCATAAGGTGTAATTTTCTAGCCTGTACAGACTGAGTCAGCTTGTTTTAACAATACGGAGGGATAAGTTTCTGTTCAGTCTACTGAAGAAGGTAAACTTCTTATGGTAAGGCTTGACTAACCTTTATTGTTTGCCTGTAGCTCATTTGCCTTCCAGGTTTGCCTTGGAACTGATTATCTTTGTGTGTGGCACAGAATTAGAAGAAGTGTAAAGAAAATGGCCTGCCTGACTAAACATTATGGTTTTCTTATAATAAGACTTCATTTAGGTGCCTACTAAGCAGTTATTAACCAGATACCCAACACAGGCCTCATCAATTAGCCTACAACAGTTTAATAACTAAGCTGAACTTCAGCTTTAGGACACCAAAAAGGGGCAACGCTACCGTAAGCAGAAACATAGCCTTTAAAACCTTTAAGAACTGTTTGTTTGGTGAATTCATTCCTATATTTGCTTAATGCTGTGGTCTCTGGAAGCCCTGTATTAGAGCCATTTCAGACAAAGAATGACTGCAGGTGTTTAGGTGAAGCTTACACTGCACTTCCTTTTGAATAGGTCCTACGCCATTACTGTTAGAACAGCTTTCCATCTCCGGGTCCTGAAATCACTGTCAGAAACATGCTAATGCTCCTTCTGTGCACTCCACAAGCACTGCTAGCAAACACTAGACATACACTTCTTTCCCCAAGTATGCCGTGCTCCAGGTCTTACTGAGCCGAGAAGCAAAAGCAACTAGGACCAAAACCCTGCTTTTCTTCCTCCACAGCACTTAATGGTAATCCTGAACCACTGAGGTAGCCTTCAAATAAGGCATATACACACAACTCACTTCCAAAAAAACCTCACCTCAGCATATTTGGCTGGAATATCAGCTTTCTCCACACCATAGTGATGTTTGCAGTTTGTGGCTGCAGCCACTTGAAGCACCACCTGACCCACACCTGCAGGAAAGAAAAAGCAAACCTGAGAATAAGTTTCAGTAGAAAACCACTGCAGGGAGAGCTTTTAGAGCAAAGGCCAACAGGAAAAACGCAGGTAATCTGTGGGACGAGGCTTCAGGGTACAACTCCAACTCCCAGTTGTGTCTGACAGTTCCCATGTGAACTCTGCCTATCTCTCAGCTGAAAAGCAGATTCAAGGCA